TTAGAACAAATCCCTCTATTCATTAAGAGAATGTAACTATATATCTATCCTAACCATTTTGAATACACAGATACAAAATGGACATTCTTCTGTATCCCCTTTTTTTGTTTAGTTCCATCATTTGAATATTACAAGTATGTTAATTCAGCACAATATACTACAAGAGTCCAGTAGTCTAAAATAGTATTGGGTCTTCTGCTTGACAGGTAGTGTCAGAAATTGTTGACCTGAGTCCCCCACAGCTCAACATAACAGCATGGCTTTACTTCATATACTCTGTTTTTCTACTTTTCTGCTGGATGGTTAAGGTCAACATAAAGCAAGACCTATGCAACAAGAGGAGTAGCTTTTGGGTCTGATAAGGTCAGTGAAATCCCCTCAGGATTTATGCTTTTAGATCTCCTCATTCACAAAAGCCAACTAAAATGACGGGAAAACTGCTTTTCTTGAGGCAAAAGCCCAAAGAAGATGGGAAAGGAGAAAATACTGACAAAGTTTGTAAGTTGAAATCCAAACTGAGTAGTGATGAGCCTGAACATGCTAGAGAAATGTGAATCTGTTAGCACAGAAGAAGGCAAGGAGACGCTCATTTTATGTATGGAACGTCTCTCCATGCTCACCCCCTGGCTCCCTCATAGAGACTCGGGAATTAGATACAACGTACCTTTAAAAGTGGAAGATGAAAGTGGAGTTTAAAGTCTGATTAAGAAATAATTATGTAATAAGAAATATTGCTTAGGATGTAGAGCAATCAATGATCTCATATACTGTGGGGGGCAATGCGAAACAGAGCAGCCACCTCAGAACACAATCCAATAGTACCTCAACATTTTAAACCTAGAGTTAGCATAGGACTCGACAGTTTTTCAAGTACAGAGTCAAAAGAAATGAAAATATATGTCTAAAGAAGAACTTTCCCAAAAATTTTTATAGCAAGATTAAAATGTCCATCAACTGATGCTTAGAGAGACAAAATGTAACATATCTAAGCAACAGCAGCTTATTGAGCCACAAAAGAAGGAAGCAAAGACGCACACTACAGGACTGATAAGCTTGAAACCATCACACCAAATGACAGAAGTAAACCTAAAGACTACGTAGTGTATGATTCCACTGACATGAAAAGTTTTGCGCCTATATCCATAGAGACCAAAAGCAGACTGGTGCTTTCCTAGTACTATGAGGATGCGTGGAGGAAGACATCTGGCTCGTAAGCAGCACAGGGTGTTTTACTAACGGTAAAAACGTTCCTAAATTGATTGTGATGATGGCTATACAACATTAGGAATATTCTAAAATCACTGAAGTGCATACTTTAACAGGGTGAATTTTATAGTTTTTAAATTATATGTCAAATAAAGCTGCTATCAAAGAATTAAATGGGCATGAAATCTAAAATAAAAGTATCTCCAGTAACTGCACTACTATCTACAACTGGGTGGCTCTCTTCTCCTCCTCCAGAAGAATAGATGTTTATCTAGATAGAGTAAAACTGAGGATCTCTGGACTAAGGGACACAAGGTCCACATGGTGGGAGAAGGTCATATTGAAATCAAGTAGAGTAATTCACATATTTTTACCAAATGAACAACAAAAAGATAGCCTTTTTCTTCAACCTACTACCACAACACTGGCAACCAGACCCTTGTATTAGACAGTCATCTGGGGAAGAGCCAGAAGCAAAGGACCTAGAGATCAGCTTGAGACAACACATAAGAATAAGGATCATGATAAAACACACACACACACACACACACACACACACACACACACACACACACAGAACTGTACAGGAAACTCCCAATGGGCTTTTTAGTACTTATTCCAAATGTAAGTGAACGGGCAATTATCCTCAGAAGTATAAAGTAAGCATGTAATATGAGTGGCAGGTAGCAAGTGAAGAAAAGGAAATGTTATTTGCAGACAACAGGAACTATTCTTAAAGAAGGAAACTATTTTCAAATGAAAAAAATCTATTCTCATCATAAGTTAAAATGCTGACATTATGAAATAAAAACAGGGTTCCATTAAAGGGAACTGGGAAAGAACAAAAAGTTATTGCTTTCAGAATTGTGAATATAATATCGAACATAAAATCTTCAATAAAAAGAAAGGAAAAATATCAGAAAGTAGAGTGAGATAACAAAGAACTAGAAAGCAAAGAAAAAAAAGAAATAGAGGACCAACCCAGGGCATCCACTATCTTAACAAGAGAAATTTCAGAAACAGAGAATGGGCAGAAGTGAGTAGAGGAAATTAAAGAAAAAAATCAGAGTGAATTTGGACTGAAGGCTTCAAATTCAAAGTGATCACCACAACACGACCTTAATGATGCAAATAACACCAATATTCAAACCCTAAGGATAAAATAAGTTCCACAAGCTTTCAGAGGACCAAATTAGGTCTCCAACAATGGACGGAAAATTAAACCAACATCAGATTTGTGTAAAACAACACTGGAAATTAGAAGACAATTATTTCTTGTCTAACATTCTATACCCAGCCATGTAGAATAAAGACATCTGCACACGCCTATACTGTCAAAAACTTACCTGCTATGGACATTCTTAATAAACAAGTGGATCATTTGTTCTACCAAATAGGAGACTATCCATCTATGGCAAATATTTAAGTGAAATAAATTGTGCAAAAATATTAAATATCACATTGTTTCACTGGTGTGAGAAACCACAAGTGTAAATAAGGATCAAAATGGATGATGCACACTGGGAAGTAGAAAGAAAATTTTCAAGTGGGATGGGGAACAAGCGAGGGGGGAGGGAAAAGGGAAGAAAAGGAAAGGAAAACAAAAGAAAATGGAAGGAAAACTTGGAAACAAAGCTTTTGTAAATAAAGAGGGGAAGAAGTGATTGAAGGGAGGGGAAGGGCACTGGGAAAAAGGAGAATCTAGATATGTACAGGTACAAATTCTCTATGACAATGTGATAATTGTATAGAGCAAAGTGCACCAATAAGGTAATTTAACAAAACAAGAGAATAGAACAAGAATAACAAAACACTTGACATCTGAGAAGCTGGAGAGCCTATTCAAGAGGCAAGTGACGGCTATCCATCCGCAAAATGATATTCACCAAGATCCTAAGAGGGAGTCTAGATGAACAGGTCAGAAAACACTAAAAGAATACAAAATTTAGAGAAAATCAACCTGTATAAATATACTGAGAATACATTTGTATACCTCTTGAAACTGAGAGAGGTTGTGGTTGGAGTTAGGAGAAGTACTTAGAAAATTAAGTGAGTAAATAGACAATTGCAAGAAAAACAAAATGGAAGAAAAATATATAGCACATTATAGGAGTAAATACCAAAAGAAGTAGCTAACAGCACTGAAAGTGGTTGCCTCTGCGGTACAGCAAATGTGTGTACATGTGTGTATGTGTGTGTGTGTCTGCTGGGGAAATACAGCTGTTCTTTATGTGCATATATAATTTACTCATAGTGGAAAATTAATTTACAAATAAAGTAAGATATATACCAGTAGCTTCCAGAAAGAATATATTAAAACCTTGGATAATTACTATACCTTGAAAAAGGCACATTCTGAATACTTCTTCCAAACTGACTCTGATCTGGGCTTATTCTGACAGTATATTGCATAGATCTGAAAATCATCTTTCTGTGATAAAGAACAAATTTAAATATATTATCAATCTGTGGATATAAATGTTATTAGCAAGAAAGGCTGAGCAAGAGTGACTGTGGCCAAGCATTACAAAGAAAGTGACCCAGAGGACCCTTCTTTGTATTCCAAGAACAGCAAGCCCATTGGACCCACTGATAAGATGCACAATTACCCAAGCAACTTTAGGACTTGCAGGGGGTTTTTGCTTTGTTTTGTTTATACTTAGTACAGGGTCTACAGGGTCTCATTACACAGATTGCACATGTAGTGATCCTCCTGTTTTCAGCCTCCCAAGCACTGGGATTACAGGCATGTACCACCAGACCCACTCTCAATCACTGTCTCAGAACGCCCCATGGGAGGGGGGATGCAGCACTGTATGTGGGGGATCAAACCCAGGCCGCTGCACTCTGCCTAAGCAGGAGCTTTAGGGACATGCAGTTCTGAACTATTAAAAATAATGTTTTCATATCCAGAAGCTAAGGGGCACCAGGAAACATGCCCTCTCTGTGTTATTAGTCTCTCAGGTTCCTACTGAATAAACTTGCAACTAACTTCCAGATTGCAGACTGTGGTCCTTGGTCCATCACAGGGGAACTGTCCTCATTGCAAAACCCGCCTGGGCATATGCCTATGTAAATTCTTTCTCCCTGGAATCATTATTCCCTAACCCTCAGCTGCTATACGCTTATTCAATGTTTTAACACTCAACCAGAGTCATCCCTTTATAAAGCCATTGCTTACACCTCTGGGCTGTGTAAGATGTCCTTCCATTTGGCTTGCCATAGGGTCCTTTATGTATGTCTAACACACTGCAACTCATTCCATACACAGTGGTTTCCATTTTTCTCCCTGAATGGTTTTAGGTCTGGTATCTACAATGCCTTGGACAGTGCTTGGCACGTAGTAGGTGCTCATTAGATGATTGTTAAATGAATGAGCACACCATCAATAAGCATTTATTAAGCCACTGTTCATTGCCAAGAATTGCACTATCCTTATGAGATATACAGCAGAATGTAGAATGTAGATCCTGTCTCAAATGTCTTCTCACTGAATTGGGGAAATAATTCATATATGTATGCATCTTAAGATATATAGGAACTGTAAAAGCTGCAATGAGCAGCACAATCTTTATACAGTACAGTGCAAAAAGAAAATAGACTGCTATTGTTTGAGGAAGTTGGGCAAAAATTTGTCCACAGTCCAAATGTGTTTAAAATTGGAACATGTTGAGAAAGATAATGTAGGGCCAAGGAGAGAGCTCAGCAGCTTAAGTGCCTGCCTGGCAAGCACAAAGTTCTGAGTTCAATTCCCAGTACAAAAAAAAAAAAAAGATTAAGGTAATGACATATACCCCTTTCTTAGCCTTATTTGTCATTTGATAAATACTTTCTGAAATAGCTATTTCAAACTTTTTAATAATTGCCTCTCTCAAATTGATTCCAAAATCAAGACCAAATTAATCTTTCAGGAATATAAGGAAGTAGATAAGAAAAGCAAGGTTAGCAAAAACTATTCTGAAGAAGCACTGTACTGGAGGAATTACAGTCACTAGGAAGTCAACTATACTAAGCACATTCTCAGGATGAGGAGTAATGAACTTCCCTGAATGATTTTGTTAAATAAAAACAATAGAAAGGTTTGCAATAGGCACCTTGGTGACTGAAAGTCTAACTAGATTTGCTTCTATAATTTTATATGTATGAGGAGGAAATACCAAGGCATCTTTTCAGCTAAAAATTAAACAAGCCCAAGAGTGGCTTTGCTACGATGATCCCAATGGTCATATCTTCACAGCTAGGATGATCTGCGGGCTCCTACAGTCACCATTCCTAGTGTTGTACCCTGTCAAAATTGACCCCATTTTGTTGCCCTTCTAAACTCGCCGAGTTCCTGTTCTGTATGCGCCTACCCCTCCCAACTCCTCACCACTATGACCCAAGTCTTATGATATCTGTACCCCAAACTTTATCTCAGTGAACTCTATATGATTGCCAACTCAACACCCCCATCCAACAGGACCACCCCATGAACTAATGACCTGCTATACCCCATGACTGCTGACTTCAGCACCCCACCCAACAGGACCACCTAATGACCTAATGACCCTGCCACTTCTTCCTCTCCACCCCTTCCCTGTTTTTGCGGTTTTCAAGCTTAAATTCTGACCCCTTGTCAATGCCTGCCGCGCCTCTTTGCACCTTGCATAGAGACCACCACTGGGTACCAGCTAAAATAAAGCACTTCTTTTAACTTTTGGACTTGCCTCGCTGTCATCTGATTTTTGAGCTACAACACCTAGGAGCTGAGGCACATGCATGTTTGATACCCCAGAACACAGCACGTGCTCTAGGATTCTACTGCCATAATTTCTACAACAAAATTTGTTTGACATTGTTTTCTTCAAAAACAAATACATTTTGAATGAAGTCTAATGTCACCAAATATGTTCTTATAAATGAGTCACTGTTTTGGTGGTCCATCTTTATACAATTAGAAAAACAAGAAGAGGAGTCTGGGCATGGTGGCACATGCCTGTGATCCCAGCTCTAGGGAGGCTGAAAACAGGAGGATCACTATGAGTCTGAGCTGCCTAGTGAGACCCTGCATCAAAAAAGAAAAAAAAAAAGCAAGTAGACATACCCTTTCCAGGAAACAAGGTCCTACTCTTTCCAGAGCGTTAGAACAATTTTCCAGACTGCTCATGAAAATGCTGTGAATGTTTCAGAGAAAAAATATTAATGTGCAATACAAGAAACTAGTTATAGCTCTTTGAAATTATTCATGAGAAAATACTCAGTTGGGCAATTACATACTTGTTATGGAATTCATATATTTCTGCCATGTTTCCAAAGAGGACATCCTTTTTGTTTCTTAGGGCAGGTGGCATAAGATCAAACATTGCTGGATTATCCATTTCTGCTCTATAGCCCTAGTCAACAGAAATATATTTATGCATTTGTGAAAATATTTTGAATAACGTTTGAATGGCTGCCAAATATATAAATACAGAAAAATACATAGGGAAGTAGGCAAATATATACTGGGTAAAGATGTTTGAATTTTTACATTTAATTCTCCTAGCCCCCAAATTTAACCATGATTCTTGTTTCAGAAGCAGAATTGGAAAGTCAAGGTCTTCCACTCAATGATCAAACTAAAATGACAGCTCCTTGACCTTTAAGGTAGTCTGTAATGTTGCAAACAACACAGATACCAAATATGAGCAATTACTGTACGGGTCGTCAACTTATCTTTCAGTTGACAATAAGTATTTAGGGTTTTTTTAGACCAAATAAACATCATAGCATCTGTGTCAAATGAATCTTTTTATCTTATTTTCAACTCTCTACTTCACAATCTCTAAGAAGCACCCTGAGAATAATTTTAACAGCCCTTTGTATCCCTAAGAGAATAGCTTTTCTCCTCTTCAATAAATTCGCAAACAAACATTCCCACTATTGAGATAGAACACAAATATGCATATTTAAACAGCAAGCAACCTTAAGCAACAGGAGAAAGGAGCTGTGCTGGCATGTGGGAAGGAAGGAAACAAATTAAAAAACTGCCTCAAATGCTTTCTAATGAATAGAAAATGGTAAAAGCCCAATTTGAGTCACGTACCAACAAAACGGTAAACAGCTCTTGAACGTACACTCTTTCAGTCTGTATTAACTCATTGAGGACATGCCTGTGATGAAAAGATCATATTTACTGGTTATTCTATTACTTAAAAGTTATATCACAATTTTTTTATCATTATAAATTGTCTAGGCCAGTGAGATAGCTCGGTGGATTAAGTGCCTGCTTGGCAACCACAAGGACTGGAGTTTGATCCCTGGTACCACTACCATGCTGCCCCCACCCCCAGGATGCACTGAGCCGGCCACCGAGGCTGGGCATGGTGGTGCACGCCTGTAATCCCAGCGCTGGGGAGACTGAAAACAGGAGGAGCACCATGAGTTCAAGCTGCGTAGTGAGATCCTATACCAAACACATTAAAAAACAAATAAATACAATAAAATGTATTTGAAAGAAAGGGGGATGCTGAAGGGTCATTTTAAGTTAAAAGTACTATTTCTAACTTAATAAGATTAAGAAACAATTTGCTAGAAACTCACAAAATTTATTCCTAAATGTCTGAGGCTGTAGTAACTTCTGAATATTTCTAAAATATGAGTTAGATTTATTATCCTGGTCTTTCCAGATGTAGATCACACTTAAGTTTCCATAAAAACTTTGTCTGCTGTCTACAAAGTGAAATACATTTTCTTTTCAATATTATTTCCAAGTGTAATCATATTTAAATTCATTTTCATTTCCTCAAATTTAAGTAATTCATTCAAGTCAAGTTTTAATTTTGGCTCTGTTTTTCTTTCTTCTTTTTACATTTTAAAGCATTTAACATTCAAGTATCTTTGAAATATATGTGCATGTTTTGTGCGTATGTGTGTGTATGTACAACTTGCTGCAAAATTCTAGCTATTCAAACTCTGATATGAAATTTTATTTTTATTTTTATTTTTTTGTATTTATGACAGGGTGGACAGGATGTCACTCCATAGATTGGAGTCATAGTGATCCTCCTGTTTACAGCCTACCAAGTGCTGGGATCACAGGTGCACACCACCATACGGAGTCTCAATCACCCTCTCAGCACGCCCTGTGGGCGGGGTCAGCATGGCAGGCCTGGGGATCAAACCCCCTGATATGAAATTTTAAAAAGATATATTCTTATGACTAGACTACTAAAGGAATATTGTAAAAGAAAAACTGATTATTGTTAATACCTACAAAATAGCATCTATACAATAATTTGTAAATTTAGCAATTCCGTTCATTTTACTTATTAGAAGAATATAACCAAAGTGTATAATTTTTTCTTACTAGTTGAATCATTTGTGGTAATATAATACATAGCACAATAACTATAGTTAATAACACTATGTTACATACTGGAAATTTACTTAGAAAGTAGATTCTACTGTTCTCACCATAAAAAAGGTTACTATGTTAGGTGATAAATATTCTAACTAACTTAACTCTATATAGCAATGACTTTAGCACATATACATATATCAAAGCACTTCAGTAAATACCTTAAGTACATACAAATTTATTTGTCAATTACACCTCAATAACACTGAAAAAAAACTGTTCTTTTCCTTTAAAATCAGAAAAAGAGATAAAAATTCTGGAAAGGGTTAATTTTCCCCAGAATTATCGATGATAAATAAATCATAGCTTGCCTAACACTAAGTGCCAGAATTCTGACACATCAACTATTGTCCTTTTAGTGACAGCCATGGGGGTCCCATTGTGTAAACTCAAAGTTTTGAGCACATGGGCCATGAACACTGAACCAGCCACTCATACAGGGAGATGTGTAGGTGGACAATGTTAATAAATAAAAGATACTTCTTTATAACATCCAAGCCATTGTCATTGTCCAAACTGGCAGATTGGCTAGGACTCTTCTTCTCCAGACAATCGTGTACCACTTCTCCCTGAAATAGTGAAAATAAAAGTTAAATTAGTATCTTATGTAGGTACAGTTTTTTTTTTCCAGGAAGAGCTAATTCAAATTAAATTTATTCTGCCTCCAAACTCTGCAGATAAATTTAAAAGCAATGCTATTTTTTTCAAAAATCATTTTGATACATTCGGTACAAGTAAAATAAATTGAGCTCCCTAGCAAGACAGAATACAGGTATGAATTGGAATTTATTGTGTATATTTGCATTTACTCCACACTTTTGGGAGATGAAGTTAATTTCGAAAGATTTGATTTTTCTCAATAACTAAAGTTTGTTCGTTGAAGAACAAAAACAGCCATTTAGCCTAAATGATTTTATGGAAACTCTTCTAGAATCTATTATATTCATTCCTGAATTCTTTAATCCAGGACACACAGCACAGTTGTTCTTTTTCCTAATGACTCAGTGGTATCTTCATAAAATTGAATGTGTTAAAATCTAATGGTAAGCACCAGGGCTACTAACACATCTGGAAACTTCTATTTCTTCTCAAAATGTATGTAACTTTTGCATCTCTGTCTCTCCTTTGTGTCACTTCTTAACTGTTGCTATGTGTGGCTTCCCTGATCCTAAACTTCTGTCTTATTTTTCCGACTTTAAAGGACTTGGACTGGTCTACTGATTCAGCTGCATGAGATTTATTATGGTTAAATGGTCCAGCAGAAGCATTTCAAATGTATTCCTGGGATCTCAGCTGTACTGAATAGTTGAGCTTGCCAAAAGGCTGACATCAAACAAAATGTAGTATTACTTTGTGACAACCAGAAACCATGATGAAATACAGTGTTTATCAGCAAATAATAAATCCATGAAATGTGACCTACATATTACGAATACATGTTAAAAGAAACAAGCACTTATTTCCACATTATATACAGTAGACAGGCACAATCCTAAGTGCTTAATGCACACCTCTATAAACAATCCTCACAGCAATTTATTTTTTTTTAATTTCACAACAACATAATAGGAGGGTAGCAATGGTTAATACACTATATATTGTCATCTTTAAATTATTACTAAGAACACAAGTTATCATATCTAATTGTCCAAACAATATTAGCAAAAA